CCAAATGCTTGTAATGATAGCAGTCAAATTGCGATTTGGCAGCAGAGTAGCTGTTTTTTCTTCAAGAACTTATTTAGTACCTTTACTGATAAGTAGTAAAGAAAGACTCAACTTGGTCTTCTGGTGTATTTTTGTTTGTTTCATTTCAGAAAAATAAGAGTTTTGGTGGTTCTTGGATTCCATAAATTAAAAACCCTGTTCTAGATCAGCCTGTGAATGAATCGCTTCATCTGGAGAAAATGCTCAAGTGCCAGAAGCACCACTACTCAAGTGAGTCACAACTTCGAAGAAGAGTCTAGCACCAGCAGTGTCCAAATTTAAACTGGTCTCCTCAATTTTCCAAAGACTCTCTCAGCTTGCTAAAAAGATGTGTGCATTATGTAACATGGTTTGGGTGACTTCAGTGCATTTCTGTCTTTTCCGTCCTACAAGTATAAAGCTCAAGAGCTAGATACAAACGAGGACCTACCAGAATACAGATGGTCCCAACAAAATATTTAATCAAATCCAAGATTTTTTATTAACATCTGCGCTATTTACCTTTTTCTAGTAAGTCTTGCTATGAGTAGTATTTTCTAAGCCAACTCTGACATAAACAGCTCATCTGTATTACTTCTAGAATTACGTAATGCATCATATTATGCTCTCTGCTTGATAGGTTATTATTTTAGAACTGGCTATCCCAAAACATCCAGAGCTATGTTCTTTTACTTACTAGATGTTTATCTTAAGCTACCTACTATGAACACAACAATATGTTCACCTCTTGTTCTTCACTAGAGCTCTCAGCTCCCTGGTCCTGTAAGAACACAAAAGAAAAGTTACTCCAAACTGCAAAAAAAGGGCTGCTCTATTGTAATTAACAGTTGAAACAAGTTCTACTCTATTTTGTCATTAAAAGTGAACTCCTTCAGTGCAAACATCCACAGGTAACAACAGTAGAAAGAATGGCAACTTAATATGTATTTGAAAGAAGAAACAAACTGAAAGAATGGCAACTTAATATGTATTTGAAAGAAGAAACAAAATCATTTAACTGTTTAGTTTTAGCATGATTTTTACAAGGTACCTAAGATCAGGTGCTGTCAAACAACGTACTGATACAGCTGTGGTCAAAACCTTCCACTTGTTGTTACTGCTTACTGTAGCAATGAAACAGCTTTACTGGTGGAGATAATATTCAGAACACCTTTTTCACGCATCTGTATTTACACATGGTAATTGATCATATAGAAACACCGTTCAAGAAGTCAAAGTAATAACCAGCATGGTTATGCCAGCAGAAGATGCTAATGTAGCTTCAGCTGAGGCAGAACAGAGGGAAAAAAATAAAATTAATGATATATGAAAGTTAGTTTCGTTACAGGTCACCGATACACACATGGACATCACCATCGAGTAACATTTTCTTTCCTTTCATGCATGTCGGCATGTCTCATCAGACAAGTCTTCGAGAGCAATGTTTTCACAAAAGACCCAACTAACTGCAGTATGAACCCAACCACTGTGTAGCACATTATCACTGTTCATCTGTATATTCACTGCAGTACTAGCATTGCTGAAACTATGGCATAATTTCTAATCATAACTTTTTTTTCCAAGGCTCAATCTCACTGATTCTTGCTCTCAGAATACAAACCTTCTTTTCTCAGCCTTATATTATTCTAAGAGTGTGTAAAGGCATTCGTTAAATACATTGCTTTAGTCCGCAACTGAAAACAAACCCAACCTCTGCATGTTTCAAAATATTTATTCAAATGCACATCTAAAAGACATTGAAGTGTACATGCAAAGAGTATGCCACATCAGTTTTGGCTACAGTTTTATTTTTTAAAAGCAGAGACTGCAACCCACTGCTTAAAAAGAAAAGGAAACCCATTTCTGGCTCCTAGGCCCTGTGAGGTCTCATGTGAAATGGTGATAAACAGCTGGCTTCGCTCTTTAAGAGGTCAGAATGGAAAAGCTTAAACCATCTGTATTTCTCCAGTTATAAAAACCCAAAATATTGCCAGAGTCTTCCTGAAGCCAGGGTACCGGATAATTTAGGCTAGGATAGATGTTTATTAAAAAAAGGGCGTTGATTTCTTGGCAGTGGTGGCAAGCAGGAGACACCCCTAGTGTCGACGTAAAATACTACAGGACTCCATACTGTATCTCTGGATTAATTTTACGGCAGTAAAAGGGAAATTTAAATCGCCATGATTATTATTAATAACAATAATAAAAATAAAAACAGCAGAGCAGCTCAACACACACACACACACACACCGGGACATCCCACATTTCCCTCACCCGCAGGCTCCCAACACCCCCTGCCTCTCGCATTTTTAAGCTAAAAAAAAAAAAAAATCCCCGTGGACATTATAAAATCGCCCGGCTCCTGCCATGGGCTACGTGCGCTGGGAGCTCTCCGCCCTGCACACAAGCAGCAAAACGCCGCCGCAGCAACGGGGGCGGCCCCGGGGGCTGCAGCAGCACCCCCACAGCACCCCGGGGGCTGAGGGGAGACCCGGGGGGTGGCGGTGGTGGTGTTGAGGGGAAAGGGAGAGGGACCCCGGGGCTGAGGGGGGCTGAGGGAAGGGCTGAGCCCCAGCGGGGGCGAGGCGGCGGCTGTGGGCGGCGGCGGGGGGGCCGCGCCCGCCCCCGGGGAAGGAGGGAGGGGAGGAAGGGGGAAGCCCGGCGGAGGACGTGGATGGCTCGGGGGCGGAGGAGCCGGCTCGGAGGCAGGGCAGCGGCCGCCGTCGCCCCCCTTTATCCCCCCCCCTCTTCTCTCTCCCCCTTCCCCGCCCGCCGCCCCCCTCACACGCAGCCTGGAATATTCCGCCGGGGCGGCAGCGGGGGGCTCGGCTCCTCACCATGGCGGCGGCTGGGCGTCAGGCGCTGCTTCCCCCCCCCGCGGTCGCGAATCCGCCGAGCCCCGGCCTCGCTGTCAGCCTGTTCGGCGTCGCCGCCGGGCCCGCTGCCGGCTCCCGCTGCCCCCTCACTGCGGCAGCGGCTGGCGCTGACCCGCAACGGCGGCGGCGCAGGGAGAGGAGCGGAGCGGAGCGGAGAGGAGAGGGGAGAGGAGGGAGAGCGAGGGCGGGGGCGAGCGGCGCTGAGGCTCGGCGGCGGGGGCGGCGCCTCCCACATCCGGGCACCGCGCCGGGGAGCGGGGAACGGGGAACGGGGCGGGGCGCCGACATGGCGGCCGCGGCGGGAGGGGAGCACAAAATGGCGGCCGGGCTGAGAGGGCGGGGAGGCGCTGCGCTGGGTTCTCCCCTCCCCGCAAATAAAATAAATCAAATAAAATAAAATGTATCTGTTACCTATATACACACGCATAAATGATTATGGGGGAAGAGCTGGTAGTGGGGAGTCCAAGTGAAAGGTTGCCACACTGTAAGGAAGCCTCGCTGGTTGGGTGTTGCCACAGGATGGGCTTGAGCGTGCTCCAGGGAGCCCCTCGCTCAGGGAGCGGCCTTGTCAATCTGCTCAGGTGCTCTGTAAGGCATCACAGTTGTGCTTTGTACCAACACCACACACCTCTATGGAGGCTCGTCCCCATCAGCTGCTGTGTAAAACTCCTTGTCAGGGCCCTCACTGCCCTAGCTTAAAGATTAAAATATGTTGTACTTCTCTCCATGGAAAACCAGGCAGGGACATAGCCTCAGGTAGGCCTTCCTAACTGGGGCCTCCTCGTGTTCTGGCTGTTGCCTTCCTCTAGTTTTAGCATAAACGTTGCAAGAGGTGCTCCTTATTTAACAGGTTTTTAGTGAATTGTGTTTCTGTAACACTAATAGGTACTTAGACCAAATTAACAGAGATGTGCTTTGATGAGGTAAATCTGAAGTGTTTACATATCTATCTGTGGTTTCCTTACCAGTAGTTAGGCTTTGTATCCTGGATAATTTACAAAATAAAATGTCTGATGCTGTTGAATGTAAACTAAGATAAAAGAGGTTTAATAACACCTCTGAGGCAAGATTTAGGGCAATGTAACTACTTGTGGAAGTAAGGCTGACCCTCAGGGAATGATCTATCTATATTGTGAAGTTTCAAGTAGGCCAGAGGATGCCTTTAAAAACCACTGTGAAGGGTAATGTGAAATAGCAAATAAGGATGGGTGGATTTTACATTCTCATTGCTGCTTTTGCTCTTCTCTCTGGGCTCGCAGTGTTGAATGTGTTTATTTTGGAGCACCATAACAGTGCATAGCACTGTGACAAATGAAGTGGTGATGTGAAAATAATAATTACATATAAAATATTACTGCGTTAATACTGCCAAAGAGTAGATTCAGTACCACGTTGATGTTGTTTTTCAGGCATTTGATATTTGGCTCACAATAACTAGATGCCTTGCCAGGGAAAGGCAAATCAATCTTGCCAACTTTGAGGTGAATGGCAACGTTATTTGTGGGGAAAGGTGAAACTGGATTATTAGTTTAAAACCAGGCTGATTTATTTGGATCATAGCTGAGCTTGAGCTTCCCAGTCTAAAATAGTAATTTCCTCTTTCTTTAGCTTTATGGAAAAGGAACTGACTGCCTCATCACTGTTGCCGTGTTTGTGAGAGTTTGAGCTGGTCAAAGGCTAGCAAACATTACCTTAAAAGTTCCTGGACAAACCTATAATCTTAAAATGCTGATGCGTAAATACTAAGAGGAACAGGGAATCTCCTGTACAAAAGCCTGTTCTAGAAGCGTAATAAATAATAAATAAAAGAATAAAGACTAAGCTAGGGAGATTGCAGAGAAAAACATAACAAAGATGAGGAAATGAACAACATGGCAATGAGTGAAACTAAATGGCATCAAACAAAAAGTAATTTGTACCAAAAGAAAGCAAAACAAAGAGTAGTGCATAACTTGTAAGCTTTAAGTTAATAGGAAAACCAGAGAAAAGGCCTTGGTGATAAGAACCTAAGCCTTGCTACAGTGAGAGGTTGCACAGTGTGAAATGGTCTGATCCAGGTGGGGAAGTTCCTGCCGCTCCTCAGACAGATAAAGGTGTGTAGGATAACCATTCTCCTGGGAAAAATAAATAAATAAATAGATCTAGTTGTTAGGATGTCTAAAAATAAAAAATTCTTAGACTTTTATGGAAAGCTAGACAAAACTAGTAATAATAGAAGTTTAAGAACTCCAAAAGAAAAATAAATTCTGATGTCAAACAGCCTTGCTGCTTACATCTCTGTCAGTGTGGCCTTATCTCCATACAAGTATGGAGTAAAATCAGCTAACTGAAGTTGGAAATGACTAGAATTTTTATTGCATAAAGTAATGGGACTAAAACAGAAATGAGGAATACAATACCTTAATTGTTACCTTTTTAGGTTTTGAGTAGAGACAGCCAAGAGCTTATGAAAATATAATTTTTATCTTGCTATGCAGTTAGGTTGTTGCTAGTAATTTTGAACCTCTAGATGCAGTACAAAGACATGCTAATTAATTTTTAATTCTTTTTTTTTTCTTTTTCTGTTGTCTCAACGTGTCAAAATTACTTTTCCTTTATATCTGGCTTCTTAAAGATGTTAAAAATGCAAGATGGCATTTGTTAGAGCGTAGCTAACAATCTGTAGAAAGCCGTGACTTGCATTTAACACTTTATTACTCAGAAATGCAGACAACATTAATGCATTCTTGCAAATAGCAATATTCAAATGTATTTTTAGAGTAAGTTCCAGGCAATGCTGTATTTTCTCACTTTCTGGTTTTTAATAAAGCTCCTTTGCAGAATAACTACAACCATTCAAACTAGGATAAGATGTGTTTCCATGGGATGGAAAGCTGTTTTAGTTTCAGATAAATAAAGAAGTTAACTTGGTACCTATTTAGTTTCTTTAGTGTTGTAAACAGTAATGATGTGGTTTGCATGGTGCTTGACCTGGAGAAAATTTGGGCTGGGTAACAATTTCCATACCCCTGCTCATGTGAGTGGACTCTAGCTGCAGTTCTTTTCATAGCATGCTTTTAAAGTGCTGTTTGTGGTGCCTCATCTATCTAATTTTGAAAAAAATATAATAATATATGTATCTTTGATCATTTGAGCATGTCCTTTATCTTGCCTTGTGCTGGTCTTCATAAAAATATTTGTTACTTGTAGATGTCACAGGATATATTTTGTATGGAGCATTCTTCTCTCTGCTAACCCAGGGTTAGGGCTGCCACCTAATTAAATAATCTTCTGTCCTGACCCTTAAAAGGCCATAAGCAGCTTTTCCCAGCAAAGCAGGTAAACTCTTGGGACAGTGCAGTAAAGCTTGAAAATATGCCATTTTTAAGCATCTGTATGTTCTTACTGGCTCCAGTGGTGTTTTGTTTTAAAATAAATTCTTATACTTCTTTAATGCTCTAGAAGGTAAAAAGGGAAGCTACCTTTTATGACCTGACTTCGAGGGAACGTACTTTTAGCTACCAGGGGTTGGGGGGAGGGCTATATTTTATCAGCAAAAGAGGAAGGCTATTTAGGCAGAAATGAAAGCTACCCTTTCTCAGCATGTTTGAATTGCCCTGGTGCTGCAGATCCTGAATTGTTAAGTCTGTAAAACTGATGCACCATATTTATTCATCTCCTTCCATTTGTAATAATGGGTAGAATAATAAGCAAGTCTAAAGATATAATACTGACTGGAACTGACAAATAGATGGAAAGATAAAGTACCTCTCTCGCTGTATTTCTCTTACACCTACATCTGTCTTTTCAGTTGAAAGAAATCAAAAGGAGTCTGCCCTTATTTTCTTGCATATTTGTGAGAGCGTATATAAATTGCCAAGATTTGGGAGGAGAGGAAGATAATACTTCTCAGATCAAGTAAGGTACAGTAGAAAAAAATGGCCAAATAAAAGGGTTGGGGACACAGGGGAACACTGTTCTCTTTACCTAGAAAATGAAGAAGGGGACTTGTCTTAAAACTGGGAGCAAGGTGAAAGGCACGGAATCTTTGGGAAGTTGTGGGTTGATAAGGGTGATTTTTGGTAACCTGTTGGGTCATTTTGCAGCACTGCAGGACAGTAGATTTCAAATTGCTAGAACTGCCTTGGATGTGAAGTTGTCTTGAGCATGCGCGCTTACTAAAACAGTGAATATTTCTGATCTGTGCATCCTGCTGCCCAAGGAGTTGTGGAATTAAATATCCTGAGAGTAGGATTATTTCTTTAGGTATCCCTTTGAGCTCTTAGTGGTAATTAATGGCTCATGAGAAGTTGAAGTCACAGTTTGAAAATCACTGAGTGTATTTTTTTTTCTTTAATCGTAACTGGGTTTTAAAGATTAATCTTCTGATTTCCTATACTTATTGGTGCTGATGGCTAGGATAAGCTGGGGAAAAAAATGCTTTCTTCATCTTTGCCCCTCTGCTTGTGATTATACCACTGTATCAGATAGCTTTTTGCAGAACAAATATATGGAAACAATCTGCAAGGATGGCTGAGACTAAAAGCTTACTTTTTTTTTTTTCTGGAGACTATACTCTTGGCATAATAATTTAATATGGTTATCTTATTTGCTTAACAGTTGATAAGGTTTCTCAATGGCATCCAGCTATAGCTGGGCTTGGTATAATTGACTTTTGCTTTTGTTTTGTTTTGTTCTGTTTTTTTGGGGGAAGTGGGTAGGGACATTTGTTCAGGGGAACTCTAGTAAGAACTGTGAGCTGACTTCTCACAGCAACTGGAGGTAAATGTTGCAAACACGAGTACTGCATTTGATCTTTCACTGATGTACTTGTCTCCCATGGGTGTAAAGGATTGTTGCTTTTGTTTAATTCTACTAGGGATGTGCATGCATTGGTCTGCACTGTGAAGATTTTATCTTCCTGCATTAACTGATTAGGAAGCAGAGATTGGCATGCACAGGATTTTAATGAGCTATTAATGAACATAACTTCAATATTGTGAAAACAATCACTTGGATTATATTAAAGTTGTATCTCTTTGTATCACTGGCTGACTGATTCAGGTTCTGGCCAGTACAAATTCTGAAGCTGATGACTTAAATAACAAACAGACTGATAATTTAGTAGTGAACTGAACTGAAACAATGCCCAAATGTCTCAATTTCCTTCTTTCTCTTGTAGCAGAGAGAAAACTGGGGAACTGCTTGCTTGTTGATCCCTTAATGAGTTGGGGACAACATTTAAATACCAGTAAGTCACATGACTCTTTCAAAACTAATCAGAGTAGATGTTACTGTCACATAGAACACCTTTTAGCATACCAGTTTGTGTTGTGGGGAGTTAAATTAATGTAGTATGGAGTTCTATGTGTGTTATCTCCTTCTGTCATCATGGGAGAATAAAAGACTTGCATTAATTACTGTAGTATCATACAGTAAATTGTGTCCATCTTAGCCGTGTGTTTTTCTATAACTTTGATTGCCACACACATTCTCAGTGCTCATATAATCTGTTTTAATTTGCAGTGCCATCACCTGTGTGAAAAATGAAGTTGCCAGAGTTTTCAAGAAAAAATGTGATGCAGCATGATCACATGTATTCATGTAAATGAATGTTTAAAGATCCCATCAGCTGAGGAGATGAGACCACACGGTGGTAAGTAATATTCTCTCTTTTTCTGATCACTGTGCTTGTGTGATTCTCCATCGTGTGCCTCAGTTCCATGCAGGGACTTCCTCAGTAGCATGTATTGAGGCCTGTGTGGTTTGTAGCTTCAATTTGAGAACTGGGAGGAAGTTAATCCTGGGTGCCAATTAAGTCTGGCACAGGATGCGATTTTTTGTCATGGAAATTCAGAAGTGCATCTAAGAACTTGAGGAACTCATTTGGTGCTAATGTAGAATACCACCTATTTTTTTATAGCTATGACAATTTTTACTACTTTAAATGTGGCAAAACTGGTTTTGGAGATGCTCTTAAAGTTCAAAGCACCTGGTCTATCAACTGTGCCGGTCTGTCAGTTGATTTTTTTTTTTTTATATATATATAACAGTAATCTTCAGATACGGTGTCTGCAGCACTGGACTAGAAAATTTCCTTAGTTTCTCTTTCCCTCTTTAGTGGTGGGTGAAATTTCAGTCCTGCTCTGCTGCTCTCAGTAGAAGAGTGAAGTTACTCTCTCACTGGATGGGGTCTGCTTGTTCTGTTTCTACAAAGCAGGTTCTGAATCCAAAGGGTTTGTTCTGAATCCAAAGAGTTTCAACATCCTTGTTTTCATCCTTTCACTGTGATGCTGGAAGGGATAGATTTAGTTGCTGAATACTTGGTCCATGCATTTAGTGTAGAACAGTCACTGAAGGAATAATTAAAAATCTAGCTTCCCTGCATCATCCTCTTCCTTGAAGAAGAAGGAGTTATGAAACAGCAGCTGTTCTGTGTACAGTCGTTATAGCTGCTGGGAGCTCTTGCTCTGCAGGGAGGGTAAAGAATCCCTTTCAGGAATTATAACTTGTCTGGTCTCACTGTTAATCTCTTAATCTGAAGATTTTGTGTGCTTTAAGTCTTTGGGCCTCCATGTTGCAAAAGACTGCCTAATGAGAAAGGGCACTGGCCAGGGGTGGGGTGCAGCTTTATACTGTGGTACACTGTAAGTCATTCTGCCTCCTATCTGTTTGGCAAAGTACCATCCACTCTCTGGTGTGGAATGGATTTGTAACTTCAGTGGATTTAAAGTCAGTTTCTGATCAGTCATGCTGTTGCTGAACTCTCCCACAAGAAGTTGCTAGAATGGAGATTTTCCTTTTCCAGAAGGACTTTCTGAAGTCAAAGGCATTTCATTATGCTTTCATACCAAACTTTTCTCCACTACTTCTGTCCCATTACAGACAAAAGATAGGCATAAATTCCTAAGGAAATACCATGAAATTTTGGGTGGCTTAGTTATACAGTACTCTTTTTCTTCCCTCTGTCAATAGGGATGAGTTCTGCTCTTTGTTTGGAGATTGTGCTTTGTATTTTGCAGCCTGCTTTGCACACTGAGAACAACTTCAGGTTATGTGCTGTAAAGACCCACCACTGGAATTCAACCACAACCTAACCAATTTCACCACTTGATGACAAACTCCTCAAATGTGCTGTCTCTAGTTTGAGCAGTATATATAAGATATTCCAAGCAGTTCTTAATATAAAATGTGGTTTCACTGAAAAAAGAAAAACGAACCAAAAAGCACCAAAAGAGACAAAAACAAAACCTAGGAAGAATAAGACCAGTAGTGGTTCTAGTGCTTTTTAGCTGGTGGAAAACTCAACAGCGTATTTTGTGGTGTAGATACATGTATCTATAACCAAATGGATGTTTAAAAGAGCAATGTCGCACAAAAAAGAACAGTGCAGACTAATAATTTTTTGTATAACTAAGTAGTATAATCTCATTAGTATTGTGTTGGAAAAAAAAAAAAAGAAAAGAAAAAGACAGTTATCTGGTAAAGAACTTCAGCTTCTTTATGCCTTTTCCCATTCATCTGAAGTTGCTGCATAACCGTTTGTGTAGATATAGGGGTAGCTGGTAAAATTACCACAAAGAGCCGATGCACAGGTAGTTGAACTACATAACTGTGTTTCCCAGTGCTGTGAGGGCTCTGTAAAGCATGGAAATCTTGGTATTGAAAAAGGCAAACTTGCTTAATGTTATAATAAGCATGTCACCTCTGAGTTATCCTACAATTGCACTGGACAAAGATTTGCTGCAGTGTGTCCAGTTCTGGTGGACCTGGAGGTAGTAGCAGCCTGTGGGTGAGACACTGTCACCACTCTGACGAGCCTTCCTAGTGACATTGCAGGTGTCCTTTCCCTTTTATGGCCTCCACCAATTTTGGACTAGGATAAACAACACTCTAGTGGCTTTTTGGTCAACATAATTTGCAGTTTTCTGGCTGATTTATGTTCACAGGAGTATTTTGCTACCTTCCTGTTGCTACCCACCAGAGCTAAAAGTGTAGGCCACGTCTGGGAAATGTTTATGTTCTGGCCTTTTTTCAAATAGGAACAATTCTGAGAAACACCCCTCATGGCACGGTGAGGCAGCACGCTACGTAGTGATTTTGACATATATAGCTAAGAATAATACAGATCATCAACACTGCCTTGCCCTTCTAGATATGAACTCTCTAACTCTAGCAATACTTCAGGAGCTCAGCAGCAAACACTTGACAGCTTTCATTCCCTGTGTCTGGATACTGTAATCCTAGCCTGGGATGAAAGGGACTAATTAATGCCTCTATACTAGGGAACACGTGCTCAGTCTTCTACTGATTGAATGCAGTGGCAGTGTACTAGGTTTAGCTTGGGGTGTGGGGGAAAAGAGAAAAGGACTGCTGTGAGGGAGCAGTAGGAGGAGAGTGTATATAATCCTCTTGGGAGTGAACCCTGTTGTCCCTCTGCTGACCAGGATGGTCTTGATCAACAGTGTGGCAGGTGCAGGTACATCTGGTACAGAATTTGGCCAGCATGTATGGAGGCTTCCTCTTTTACTTTCCACTCAGACACATAAATGGAAATCCACCTTTGCTGAACAACCTGCAGCCCTTCTTGTGTGGGCTGGTAGCTTTTTTTTTTTTTCCTAAGCACTGCGGTTCTCAGTGCAATAAATAGAGCATGTTTTAGATGAATTCTCCAGGGAAGCCATTTTCATTATAAAATGGTTGTCAGCACTCAGAAACCTTTGAATATAGCCTAGAACTGTTTGTTTGTTACAAATCTTGGGAGGTCACAGCCTTTGAAATAGTTGTGTGGAGTAAGCAGTGTTTTAAAAATAAAACCAAAGGCTTCCCTAGATCTGAGCTGTCCTGCTTTCATTGCTTCCCAGTTGCTGGAAAGTCTGAGTGACCCTGTGCGTGGTCTTTTAAAGAGGAAATGCTGCTAGCTGATCAAGGTCCCTGAAAGTGCTAGAAAAAATCAGAGAATGTCTAAATCTAGCAAAGCTTTTGGTATTAAGGTAAAAAAAACCATCCATCATCAAAGCAGTCAGAGCTGAAATCCTGTGAAGTGCTTGGGATCTGTGGGTAAAGAACAGTGTGTCCTAATGTATCCTGTAGCAATATGTTCCTACCTGATGCTGTAGCAATGAAGACTACAGAAAAGCTCTAGACATTCTTAATTGCATAGGCTTTAGTTTACACCTCGTTAACTCTGTTCCGTTTTGTGGGATTACCAAGCACTGGAGCACAAAGTTTCCTGTGGAGCTGGGTATTCCAAACCTTGATCAGGACCACGGTGATTCTTTGCTTACAGCTATTAACAAATGAGGCATTTTAACTTCTGTGAGGTAGGTAAGTGTTGCCCCTATGATTCTGAGACAAGTTATTTAGTATGCATGGTTTTCTGAATGTCGCTTTAGGAACACCTCAACTAATATTTTGTTCATGCCAGCAAGTTTAAATAGAGGATTTTTATCACCAGGTTTGTCACTCATTTGCTGTGTGACCATACACATTAGGTATCTTAGGTGGGCACATAAACTTAATGGGCTCTTCTGCAATGCTAAGGCAATAGCAATACTAGGTGGAAGATTCAGAAATTCTTATACAAATACGTAGTGTATTTGTATATATACCAATATTGACGTAGTATAATTCATAATTACTTATATTTTAATGTCATATACATTATGTACCAACCATGGTATATTCAACATCACCTGATGTGTCTAGCCTAAATACTTTTATGTGGAAAAAAACAAAAGTGATTAAGGTTTCTTCTTGACTTAAAACATTTCCACAATGTATTATTTCACAGTTTTAGGTTAATTTTTGTTCCATCTGCAAAAATCTTCAAAAAAAAAAAAAAAGCAGAATAGCTCACTAATAAAATTTCAGACATTAAAAAGTAGAAAAATCTTAAATTACAATTTTTTTTTAATCGTAAAGCCTACATCTACCCTTTTTTTTAAGGATACTCAGATAAACTTTTAAAACTACTGTTCAGTGCTTAACTGCAAACAGGATCACTAAAGCTTTGTACCACAAGAGTTCGAAGACACAAAATACCAAAGACATTAGTAAGAAAACCCCCTTTGAGGCTGCTGATCTGTACAATAAGCAGTTTACCTGGCTCTCAGCAAAACTGATAGCTTCTAGCATCAGTGTTCGGGGATGTCTGATCCCTTGCTATGGGTTATCCTCTAGACTTCAATGAATGCTTTGTGAGTTGACAGTAATGCGAGTTTTCTAAGGATAAATGGAGATTGTTTGGCCTAGTTATTGACCTTTTCACTCTGCTCCTTGTAGCTATCACTACTCAATTGATATGAGGATCTCTTCTATAAATATTTAAATATTTGTCACTTACAAGTCTTTGCACAGAAAGAGGCTAAACCGTGCTGCTTGAGAAGGCTGTCTTTGATTCCAGTGGTCCCTGAAGGGACATTCAGATTCCAAGCTGAATTTCTTCACTCAAATACCCACATTGTCTTCAGTAATAAATTTGCATACAAACTGGAGGAAGGAGCTTGACCTATTCTTAGAGCAAGTCAAAATTACTTTGCCTCTTCATGAACAGCTGTACATCTTTGTATTATCTCTTGTGTATCAACAATGTATGCAAGGCAGAGAGGAAAGTCTTTGCCTTGGAGGAATTTACAGCCTAAATACGAAGGCTGA